TTCAGCTTTTTCATAACGACATGACAACTCAACAAACTGCATTTTTCTCATTAGATTTGCATTTTTCGACATAACATTTTAAATTTCTTTGACACGAAACAGGGTTTGAACATTATGTATTTAATGACAACAACTCAAATATAACAACATTTTTATTGAAACAGAATTTGAACATGAATTTTATTTGAACATGAAACACAAACACAAACACAAAAGCGGCAAATCTAAAGATACAAACAGTACAACTACTACAAACACATGACAAGGAAAACATGAAAATACACTACTACGCTTATGACGTACAAGCCACTATTTAATCACGATCGCGTACTACAATTTGCTCCAACCACTCGAGTTGCTCTTCCACCTTTTTTTCTCTTCTTCTGCCTCGTTGAGTTTGGCCTTCAACGCCTCAATTTCATCATTGGTTCGGCGCTCGCTTACCGCTTGGCTATTACATAAACAATGAAGCTCATAAGTTCTTTCTTTGTAGTGCTTCTGGTTACATGGTTCGTCCATCCAAACCTTAAATTCACATGTAGGCTTGCCGGGTAACTCCTCAAGCTTGTTCTTACATGCCCAGTAGCGGCGTGCACCTTCTGGCCACCATTTGAACAAACTGCATTTTTCTCCGCAGTAGCACCTTGGGACATAAACGTTTTGTTCAGACATTTCTTATGGAGAAACTTTGGTTATTGTTAAGCGAAGAATATAAGTAGCATGCAACCATTATTTATAGTCAAGATTTCACACAAAAACGCAGTATAATACTGCAAATTACATTTTAAATTTCTCTTACACGAAACAGGGTTTTCACATGCTTTTCAGCTTTTTTAGAACGAAATGACAACTCAATAAAACGCAGTATAATACTGCGAATTACATATTAAATTTATCTGAAACAAAGCAGTGTTTTCACATGCTTTTCAGCTTTTTTAGAACGAAGTGACAACTCAACAAAACGTAGTATTATACTGAGATTTACATATTTAATTTTTCTGCAAAAAAAAAAAATATTTTTCATTCATTCAAGCTTTTAAACAACGCTTTACAGCTTTTTAAGAACGACAAGACTGTCGACGCCCCCTTTTTTCTCGCGGAATCGGGTTCACGATATTTGGGAAGACAACTCTTATCCCACTTTGGGAATTGGGTTTTTTGAGAGTTTGGAGAGTCGCCACCTAATGATTATAGTGCATTAGGACACTTTTAGAAGAATTAAAGATGCAGACCAGATTTTGGGTAAGGGCTTGAAATTATCTCGAGGGGAAGGTGTTAGGCACCCCTCAAGATCTACTAGTGTGGTTCCCGGCCATGCTACAATTGTGACTTTAGATGTAAAAATAAACAAGTACAAGAAGCACAAAAGGTTAAAAGAAGTGCTAAATTTTAAAGGAGCAATTTTGTAAAAAACGTGCAAGTGGAGAAAAAGGTGATGTACTTAGTGCAAATAATCCGAAAAGATCATGCGAGAAGCAGGAATTGAAAATGCAATAGCTTTAAAGATTCAGAAAATTTTATTAAACTAATAAAGAAGGAGAAAGGGGTCCTAGGTTTATACATTACATGGATCATTCGCACAACACTGGTACTCAATTTTACGCGGAGTGTTAACGTGTAATCATCATCTCCATGTCTACCCTTCCCACCCTGTTAAGGTATTAAAGCGCTGAACGGTATCGTTTACTTATCGCATGCTACTACCCGTCCCAATCCTATTACTCCCGGGGTATTAGAACTTCCAATCCTAAAGGGGAAGAAAGGGATGAGGGCCTTTGTGGAGTTTAAAGGATAAAATTCTAGCTCCACATTCAAAACAAGTATCAAGTAAAAGGGGAGGACAAGCAAGCATACAAGGCTCAAATTAACCCCAGAAGTCAAACAATCATTTAGTTTAGCATGCCTTGACAAATACTGATTTGGTCTTAGATTAAATTAAGCAGCGAGCGGACTGGTTCAACGCATGTATTTAAACAGAGAGTCTGCATTAGGCAACTCGGATGTAGTTGTCTGGGACTGACCCAATTCATTAATTAGCCAACCCTTGTGTATGAGTTGAAATAAAAAAACCTAGGCGTAAGATCTATTAATTTCAGGAAAAAGATGCAAAGAGGTACCAGTAGTTTCAGAAAAGATGCAAGTTGATTTTAGAAAAAAGAATTATAAGTTATTTCAGAAAAGATGTAGACTGATTAAAAGGTTGACGAGTTTCGGGGGAGTGCAGATTGGCTATAGGAAAAAGGTTTATCAATTTTAGCGGGCTTCAGAAGTAGAAAATTACCAGTTTTAATAAAGACACTAGTTCCAGCAATCGATACTGTTTAAGAACGAATGATGCTATTAAAGACGAGGTTTCCTATAGGCATGCTTTCTATATGTTTACTGATTTTAACACCCTTTCCTGATATCAATAAGAGTCTTATACACATAATGTCTATATGCAACTTTGTTATTAAGCGTATAAACGGTTTGCCTAATGACATTTATATATGCAGAAATGCAAGAGCCTATAGACATGATCTCTATATGTGTCATTACAGAACATGAATGTTAAATCCTATAGACATGCTTTCTAGGTGATTTTTGCGGTAAAGTTAAGCGTTAAATCCTATAGGCATGGTCTCTATGTGATTGAATCAGTATTAAAGACCCTATAGGTAGGATTTCTAGTTTGAATAAAATCCTAATTCATGATTTCTACCCCTTGGATACAAGAAAAGTAAAGACCCCTCCCACACCCTTTTACTATACTCCCCGAGTTTCATACAAAATTATTACAACCCAATGAATCAAACTGGAAATTAAAGGATACATCAAAAGCTAACAACTAGATCGGAGTAGCCTAATTCAACCTTAATGTCTAATAACATGCGATTGAGCCACTTCCGGGATCCAGATTTCCAAAGCCTTCTCTTTATCCAAGGTGCTTCAAAGTTCCAAGGAATCTCAGGGATTCCAGGCATTGCTTACACCTAAGATACCACCAGAATTAGAATAGTGCAGTGTGGAAGAGCCGGCTCTCATGCATCCAAGTTCAGAGGGAGCTCGGGGGTCCCAAAGCATGTCTTGCAAGAGAGGGGCAGAACTTATAGCTAAGAGTAAGTGCAAAGTGAAAGGGAATTGGGGGGCCATGACAGGTGGTGGTCATACCTAGCTACAAAGTAGGCTGGCACACCCCTGACCACCTGCTTGGTCAAACACATTAAGAGCAGACCCTTGAAGGTCAGACCAGAGTCTGGACAGTGATTAGGACACTGCCAGACCCAAGTCTAAAGCTCAACAACACATAAAGGGGGAAAGGGAATGAGAACTGATTGAGTTTGGGATTCAAAGAATCCAATCCAGAATCATGGACAACAATATTAGAGTGTTGTCATGCCCCGAACCATAACTCACCTATAAAGGGGTATGAGGGTTTGGGATTCATAAAGTATCAAATTCATGACAAACAACTGACAGGATGCATACATAATTTAAATACTGAATTACAAAG